CCAATCCACCAATTGCGCACCTCTGATCAGATACTGCGCTCCTATGCGAGGCACAAGCACACGTCAGCCTCTACGCCCTACTTCGAACCATAGGCTTGCAGATCCTCCTTCGATGGGATACATTATGGCTACAAGAGACGGCATAAGGATCCACAAGACAGAGCGAGTTAGTTGTTACAGTATGGCGGCGAGCAGCATATATATTACTGTGGGCGGGTTCAAGGGTGATCGTGTCAAGTATGCTACCTTTGAGATATCTAGACCTGCGTGATTGCCGTAAAGAATATAGCAGTATTTCCCCCTTGATGTGGAATACAGAGTGATAGAGTGGCTATCGTAGTGGAACCGCCTCCACCTAGGCTGTATATTTACTCGCTCATTGGCGAGCTCACGCGATAGCCATCCCCGGTGGCACGAGGCTTCACGTGCCCCTCGATAGAGAACGCAGCCACACCAATTTATTTTTAACATCGTGGCATTGAAATAGACCGCACGCGGAAGCAGCGATGTTGTGATCCATTACCACTTGCCGCAGGGAGTCATAATTCGGATTCGGATTGGAATTAGACATGGCCCCGCGCAACTTTAGTACAGTCGCTTGCAAAATCGGCTTCGCCCCAGCTCGCCTAGATTTTTATCTGAGCACGGACCATACAGCCAGTTATAATCAGTGCGCTTTTATTACACCAAGTATTGTACGGTAATCTTGTAATTTGAATGTCGCTACTAATTAGCAGTCTTGTCGCAAAGAACGATGACCGGAATTTCTGATGCAGGTCTTTATTATTACTCTCGTGGCGAGAATGTTCATTGAGCCCCTTATATAATAGGCTCTTAGCCCTTCGCATGGAGACGCATTTACGGTGATCTCAGATCCAGCGTGAGGCTATTGCACTGGGGGCGAACGCCATACGAAACGGCCTCTTAGTGGGCGATGATGCCACGTAGCTAGAGGCTGTTCTAGCTATACACAGCCTTGAATTGGGAGGCCGGTAGTAGATAAATGCACATTACTAAAGGTGGACAAACAAGGATTTTGATTCGATCGCTAAAGAAACAGATTGCTTCAGGCGCTGTGCAGGATAGGTATATATGGATCGTGCTCCAAGCTGTATCAGCTAATATCACGTGACTATGTAAGGGCTCAAAGGATGTCCCGTTCTCTTTACTAATTTAAGCAAGGCAGAGCTACTTAACGCAAATAGAGTAACCAAACTTCTAGACGCATTCCAGTCCTTATATATATGCCTTTCAGTAGGAAACGTTCAACCATCCCACTCACGTGGATGGCCGTGCTGCAACGTGTTTGCCCCGCTTACAGCCTTGCGAAATGTCTTTCCTCAGCTGCGACTTTGCTTGTCTTCTCAAAGCAAATCGTTCGCTCCTCGTTGTCCCTTTCTGACGACCGCCAACTGTTCCGGGCTAAGGCACTATGGATCCTGGCACAGGCCTCGCCGTGTTCGACCTGTCTGTGAAGGTCGCAAAGCTTTGCTGGGAATACTATCGCAAGGTCAAAAATGCCAAAAGTGACATTGAACGCCTGAAAGAAGAAGTGGACAGACTCAAGGCTCCTCTTGAAGCTGCAGAGAAGCTTCTCAAAAGCCCAAACGGCCAGAGACTTCAGGCTGCACAGTCCTTGTTGAGTGCACTCCAGGGCTGCGAAGCACAACTCAAAGAGCTGGAAACAAAGCTGAAGACCAAGCTAGAAGACACGCTCAAGCATGGGAAAATATATAAGGCAATGAGGAAGATAATAAGGCGACTCGGCCTTAGCGCACTTAAGTGGCCACTCGAAAGCAAAGATGTCGACGCCATCATTGCAACCCTCGAGAAGCATCGAAACGAGCTCTCTTACGCTCTTCAGATCGACCAGACGTACGTTACAGCTTTTTACCTGGTTTATCTTAGCTAACCTAACCTTAGTGCGGAAATCCTTCACATTGGCCAAAAGCTCGACCTCTCGAAACTGCCTACCGCGAAAGATGCATCCTTTGACTCGCACGCCGACGAGCACGACGCACGATGCCTTCCAGAGACACGAGTCACCCTACGCGAGGATATAAAAAAGTGGGCAGAGGATAAGCACAGCGAATGTATCTTCTGGCTTAACGGCATGGCGGGTACCGGAAAGTCAACAATTTCACGTACGGTCGCGCAGTCGTTCGCCGACGAGGGAGTCCTTGGCGCTAGCTTCTTCTTCAAAAGGGGCGAGAAAGATCGCAGCAGTGCAGCTCTTTTGTTCACGACCCTTGCTGCCAGACTTGCTAATATCCCTATTTTGGCAGCACCCATCAGAAAAGCCATTGAGACCGACCCCGAACTTCCTCAGAAAGCTCTAAAAGAGCAGTTTGAGCACCTCCTCATAAGACCTCTAGAGAGTTTCAAGGGTGATCCTATCAACCCAAAGAGGATTGTGCTCGTGATTGACGCACTTGATGAATGCGAGCGAGATGACGATGTCCGAGTTATCATCCGGCTACTATCACAAGCAAGAACACTACATTCTGTACGGCTGAGGACTTTTGTAACGAGCAGGCCCGAACTTCCAATCCGGCTTGGCTTCAGCAATATTGAGGGGCAGTACCAGGATCTAGTCCTGCACAAGATACCGAAGCCGGTCATCGAGCACGACATCGCTGCGTTTCTAGAGCACAAACTCAAAGAGATTAGGGATGAGTGTAATAGATTGTCTACCGGCAATCCGCAACTTCCGTCGAACTGGCCAGGCATCGAGGCCATTCAGACACTGGTTAAGATGGCTGTCCCTCTCTTTATCTTTGCAGCTACTACATGCCGTTTCATCAAAGACGATCCCGCTGGCCGACTAAACGAGGTACTAAAATATCGTTCAATGACCGAGCATGATGAGTCTGACCAGTTTGACGCTACATATCGCCCAGTCCTGGACCGGTTGGTTACTGGAAAGAAGGAGGCGGCTAAGAAATCTCTTATAGAAGAATTCCGTACCGTTGTGGGCTCAATCGTGCTCTTAGCCGAGCCTCTCTCAACATCGTCTCTGGTCAATCTCCTAGATATTCCCCGATCCATCACAGACCGAATCTTGAGATCTCTTCATTCCGTCTTGAGTGTACCAGCCTCCGCCGAATCTCCCGTTCGGATATTCCATCTTTCATTCCGCGACTTTCTTGTTGATCCCGACAAACGAGACACCAATCCGTTCTGGATAGATGAGAGGGTAGCCCACGAAAAGATCGCAAACAGATGTCTAGAGCTGCTGTCGTCGAGCAGCCGCTTAAGAAAGAACATTTGCAATCTCGACATTCCCGGAATGGCCCGTGCAGATGTTGATCCCACAGTCATTAACCTGCATCTCCCCGCAGCCGTTCGATACGCATGCCTCTGTTGGGTCCATCATCTGGAGCAGAGTCGTCTAGCAGAGGGCAAAGCTTGCATAACAGATGATCACCAAGCATACATCTTCCTCAAACGTCACTTC